CGTCTGCTGAAGACAGGGGAAGATATACTTGTGTTCTTGAAAATCTTAACGGAAAAGTGAATTCTTCGACGAACGTTAAAGTTGTCGGTAGGTACCCAGTATTGGAAAGTGGGGGGAAGGAGGATGGGGATGGATTGATAGAGGGAAGGACAAAAATGATAGAATTAAGAGAAGGGATGAAAGCATAAAGGAAGGAGAGAAAGAGTGAAGCGAAAGTGGATAAAGGATGACTGGGAATAAATGGATCGGAAGGGAGAAAAGAGAACTAAGAAAATGGATAAATGGATAAGTGACAAGATACATGAATAAATGGATGGATGGATGGATGRGAAGGATGGTAACTAACAGTAGGATAAAGTATAAATTGACTAGCAATCATTCACAAAGGGACATCTTAAAAAGTGGGAATATCATGGTCTTAACTAATATGTTTTTAAACTACTTCTTTCTAGACGAAGAAAAGCCTCAAATCACCAGACCAGACACGCCTCGTAACATTCCTCCCAACGGCAAAGGCCCCGCCAATGCAACAATTGGTGACAACGTCACTGTTCTTACCGACTCTGACCTCACTATTCATTGCCCCGCTACTGGTTTACCAAAACCAATCCATTCTTGGAGTAAAGACGGAGAGAAGATAAAGCTGGGAATAAACTTTTTCCTTTTACCCAATGGAACATTGATYATCAAGAAAATATCGTTTGATGAGTCAGGTACTTACAAATGTACAGTGGAGAATATTGCTGGAAATACRAGCCAAATAACTCAAGTATTGGCCGTTGGTAAGCAATCTATTCATATCAAACTCAATCAGTGCATGAATCATATTCTTCTCCTGCGCAGCCACTTTTAGTAAACACTTACTCCCCTAAGTAGGGAGTGGGCGTTGCCTGACGATCACACTCAATAGACCTTGGTTTCACGTGAAAGTCCAAAAGTGTTTGACTGTTTCTGAATGGTCAGACATTGGGCACATTTTTATGCGACCATGATGAAAAAAAATCTTGATTGTTTTGCAAACTTTCATCATAAAATTACTATGCATGATTAATAGAATACAAATTATAGGATAAAAGCCGCAAATCCGGGGTAAAAGCAATTCTTCGATCCACGATCCACTTAAACGACGTCCAGTCCAGTCCAACTATGCGCGGTTCCKGATTTTCCAAAATAAAAAATATCCCAAAATTAAGACTCTARAACTATAAATCAAATTTTAGAGCTTGGGTGTGTTTTTTGCTATACATTTCGACTACCCATACCCTTTCAAAAGCTAAAAATCCGACTTTTTTTGCCCTCCAAGATAACCGACGTAAAGTTGTCAGTCAACGCGATCCCAAATTTTTCAAAATAAAACCTCTATTAAAATGCAGAATTCAGAAACAAAAGAAGAGTTTCAGCGTCTTTAAACGTTTGTTTGTTAAGATGTGTTCTTGCTTGGCTGTCTGTTGTAGCTCCCAAAAAGCCGCACATTTCCAAGCCGAAAGAGCCCCGAACACACCCTCCAAAAGACCGCAAGCCTGTCAACATATCAATCGGTAATAACGTCACTTYACTACTCAATACACCAATCAAAATCGTCTGCTCTGCTACTGGAACACCAAAGCCAACTATAACGTGGATGAAAGATGGCAAGGCACTTGATCAGTTGGACGATAGGTACTCAGTATTTGAGAATGGGACGCTTTTGATTGCACAAGCATCACTAGAGGACCAAGGAAAATACACATGCGTAGCTAAGAACAAGAAAGGAGAAGATAACGCTTCCTCCACGGTCGGCATTGCCAGTAAGTAATGAAATAGTCCTCTCTTTCTCTCATTTGATTCATATCTCTGGTTTTGATGACTACAGACTCGTTTTTCGTTGTTTATTTTTGTGAACCTGTACAAACGAGTCTGTAGTAAAGGATTACAGTGCTATTTACTGAATTGGAAAAGAGACTGTTGCTCTCTCAAAATATCAAGAATGAGTTGAGAATTGTATGCAAACATTTCTTATAATTAGGCCATGGTATGTGTGTTTTTTCTCTTTTAAGTTTTATTTAACGAAAGAAATTTATTGCCTTTATTGCTTCAGGTTCTAAGAAACCCAAAATCACAAGACCAAAGGAACCCCAGACCCTCGTACCTAAAGATCGCAGCCCCATCAACATTACAATCGGAGATAAAGTCACAGCATTGACTAATACACTAATCAGTATCGACTGTCCAGCAAGTGGAATACCAAAACCAAAGATATCATGGAGAAAGGATGGTCAAGAAGTGATCCCTGGGGGTGGATATGTAATCCTTGAGAATGGGACACTGGTGATTGAGAAGGCGTCTGCTGACGACAGGGGAAGATATTCTTGTGTTGCTAAGAACGTTGACGGGGAGGAGAGTGAAAATTCTACGGTTAATGTCACCGGTAAGATATGCTTCCAAGTTTTCAAAGTCAAATAGAGAGGTTTTCATGACCGTACTGCAGCCGTATACCGCAACTTATCGTGTTTCAATGTTACGAAATGTCGTAACGTGATCAGTACTGTATGTTTCCCATAACCATTCTTATTGGAAGCCATTTCAGAGTCACGGAATCTTGCATCGTGTACATGCCCTGTACAAACTTTAACGCAACAAGTTATTGAAATTCACAAATTTTAAATGAATTTCAGATTCAGAGAAACCTAAAATAGCTGCAAAGCACAAGCCCCGTGACGTCCGCCCACCTGACCGACGCCCTGTTAATATCACTGTTGGAGATAACATCACTGCTTTAACCAACACTTATATCTCTATCGACTGTCCTGCAACTGGCACACCCAAACCTACAACGACTTGGATTAAAGACGGACAAACTGTACCTGAGGGGGGTCGAGTGGCTGTTCTTGATAATGGTACCCTCGTGATTAAAAACGCTTCTCCTGAGGAGCGAGGAAGATATACCTGCAAAGTGAAGAATGTTGACGGAGAGGATAACAAGACATCAACTGTGGATGTTGTTGGTAAATATTCTTTTCATGTTTTTTTACCGCGCAAATTTGATGGAAAACTAAAGAAAGGAGTTTTAAATTTAGAAAGTAGTTGTTTTTTGGGGTTTGTGCGGCAGCGTGCAACAATGGGGATGGAGTTGCGTTACGTTCCTTTTCTTACATTACTTTTCAGTCCAATTCCCTCTGAAKTTTTCTTTCTTTTTCTTTTCTATTCTTTCTTTGTCTTTCAATTTTATCCCTACCCCTTTTCCTACAAAATGATACGCTATTAAATGCTTTTTTGTTGCGTAATATTCCAGTTCAAATAAACGCCAATGCATGTTCCTTTTGCTTTTTCAAGTTTATATTTTGAATTATATATACTATCTGATTCTTTGCTTTCTTTCTCTCTTTCTCATATCAAGATCCGGAAGCAGCTAGAATCAGGCGACCAAAGAATCTTCGAAACATCACATCAGAAGATGGAGCCCCAGTGTCTGTAGACATTGGCAATGACATCATAGCTATTGCAAACACCAAAATCTCCATCAACTGTCCTGTTTCTGGAACTCCTAAGCCACTCATTACGTGGAGAGAGAACGGTTTTGAGCTTGTTGAAAGAGATGGGTACAAAATCCTTGATAATGGGACTCTGGTTATCGAGAAGGCCAAGGCTATTGACAAGGGGCAGTACACTTGTCTTGCGACCAACATCGCTGGGAAAGACAGTGTGACAACAAATGTTAAAGTATTGAGTAAGTGTAGATAGACTAGTAGATTATTGGCCATGCTTGTAGAAACCTGAGGTTTTGAGACTAAGTCACGGAACGAATTGGAATTTAGCGTGTAAAGTTTTGTTGGGTGAGGAAAGCCGGAAACCCCAAAGGGGAGGGATTTAAAAATCTCTATTCACATGTGATACCGAGTCCAGGAATTCGAACCCAGACCCTAGAGATGAGAGGCGARTGCACTTATGCTACGCCACCCTTGACTCCCCATTACCAATGTTCTCGTAAAAAGAAAAAAAAAATCTGAATACAGCGAACAAATATTTTTTTATCGATTGATTCCAATGGTATGCCTTTTTTCAGAACCAACAACACCAATGATAACTCGACCAAACAAACCACGCTCCGTATCCCCTGGTGATGGTAGTCCCGTTAATATTACTATAGGCGACAACGTGACTGCTCTGACCGGTACGCCGATAACCATAGACTGTCTGGCCACTGGAGTTCCTTCACCTCAGGTTATCTGGACAAAAGATGGCCGAGAATTAAGGTCTGGTAGTGGGTATGTCGTTTATGAGAATGGCTCGCTACTGATCGTCCAAGCCTCGCGAGAAGAAAGGGGGGAGTATAAGTGTGCGGTGAGAAACAAGAATGRAGAGGACAGTAAAACATCGATGATTGATACTGTGGGTAAGTATATTCCTTTCCGAAGGTTTTGTACAGCTTATATTTTATATCTGCGAAGGACATTGGTGGCGATAAGCATGAAAATGATGCCACTTGCCCAAGAGTTTCCAAGAAAGTTTCGCTTCCGCCAATCGAAGTGTTAGCTTGAATCGAATTTCATTTCGTGTTGTTGTTGAAAATCAGATCCTATGAAGCCAAAAATCAAACGACCCGATGAACCACGATCTATCCTTCCTAAAGATCGCAGCCCGATCAACATGACAATCGGAGATAACGTCACAGCACTGACTAATACACCAATCAGTATCGACTGTCCAGCAAGTGGAATACCAAAACCAACCATATCATGGAAGAAAAATGGACAGCCCATTACGATTGGGGATACTTTTGTGGTACATGAAAATGGTACTCTCTTTATAAAACAGGCAAATAAGGAAGACGAAGGAAAATATACCTGTACGACACTCAACTCTAATGGAGAAGATAGCAAATCTTCAAATGTTGCTGTAGTAGGTGAGACGACTTTATAATAGACATGAGATAGATCGTCAGACTGACTGACCGCCCGACCGACCGATCGACTGCCTGACAGATATATTGTCTGACAATAGACAAGGGGATAGATTGATGATACCAAGATAGCCAACTGATCCCAAATTTTATTCTCAATCGTTTTTAGATTCCAAGAAGCCATCCATCAACGAAACTAACTCTCAAAACATCCCAGTTGGTGGTGGTGGACCAAAGGCAATAAAAACAGGCGACAACGTAACTACAATTCCTAACACACCCATCAGAATCACGTGCAACGCTGATGGCATACCCAAACCATCTGTCACGTGGTATAAAGACGGCCGGGAGATTGTGCCAGAAGATAACGCTCGTGTTCTTCCAAATAATACTCTTCTGTTATTGGCTGTCACCCCAGAACAGGGCGGGGTATACACGTGCAAGGCGCGAAATATCGATGGGGAAGATACTTCCAGCTCGAAAGTAACTGTAGTTTGTAAGTACATTTCTCAATTCTTATATGACACAGGAACCCCAAACAGTGGATATGTATAAAATTTGGTCTTATCAGCCATTCCGAGTTGATGAAAAAACTGTGCCTAGTTTGCATTGCAGTGTATGATGGGACTATTTTAGATGCCATTTTGGAAATTGTTTTACTTAAACGAGTCTTTGACTAAGTTTTGTTTCATTTCGTAATTTTTCTCTCAGCTTCTCGGAAGCCAATCATACTGGTACCTAAAGTTAGCAGAAATATCCGCATTGGAAACAAACCTTTCCAGAAAATTACGATCTCTGATAACGTCAGAACCCCACCAGGCAAGAAGATATCCATCACTTGTACAGCACGTGGTCTACCTGAACCCAAACTTACCTGGAGTAGAAACGGTGTTGTCCTACGCACGGGCGGAGAGTACGAGATCGACAAGAATAATACTTTGACTTTAAAAGACGTGAAGCTGAGTCACAGTGGAACGTATACTTGTACAGCAAAGAATGTTGCTGGGGAAGACAGAGCTTCGTCTAAAGTGACGGTTGTTAGTAAGTATATGGAGTTGATTTATAGCATGCGCGTTTGGTATTTCGGAAAGTGCGCAACGCGAAGGGTGATATCTGGAAAATAAGATATTTGGTGCGTTGTGGTATGTGTATTAGTATACGCCTCATTTTCCATATATTTTTGTCGTGTCTCAGACCTAGTCTATAGGCCTGAAGCGAGAAGACGTTTTACCCCTGTCTCTAGACCCTAATCCTTTTCACACTGCTTTTGTTCTTTAATTATGACTATTGTTCCTGTATTCTCTAAGGAATCAAAAATTTTAATATGAAAGAATTTTAAAAACTATTATGGTATAGAGTCGGGGGCAAAACGTCATCTCGCTTCAGGCTTATTGTCACCTAGTCTTGCCCTCATACTTTAATTAGATCCAACAACCGTTTACTAATACTGAGTCTTCTTCCTCGACAGCCTTTTCCGAACCTGAAATACGTAAACCGATTAGCAGTCAGAACATCCAATCAGAACGAATAGCTCCCGTTGTCATRACGATTGGTGACAACATAACCGCGTTCAGCGGTAGTACCATCACAATAACGTGTAACGCCACTGGAATACCAAAACCTCTTATCACGTGGCTAAAAGATGGCAGAGCACTGATACCTGGGGTGAAGCTTGTCATTGATCAGAAGGGAAGCCTTACATTACGTGAAGTKGTATCCCAGGATAGTGGTCGGTATACCTGTGTTGCCATGAACTTTGCTGGAAGAGATACGGAGGACTCGTTTGTTACGATCTTAAGTAAGGAAATATATTTGACTTTTGTACAAGTGTAGAATAATTTTCGCTCTTATTAAAAAGGACATGACTTTATACAGCGTGTAACAGCGAAAATAAGGGAACTTGACAAAAAATCCTAGTCCCTGATGGCCATCGATTCAATTCCCATCAGGAACTCAGATTTTTCCCCGGTTCCCTTACTTTGGGTGCGACACGCTGAATAATTTCATCTTCTATATTTTTGACTTGTTTATTCTTTAATCTAGCTGTCCTTTATCTTTTGTTTTTTTACCTCGTTGTTAAGCTTGCTCGATTAGTTGCTCTCCTTTCTCCTTTCCTCTTCCATCCAATTATCTTTCTATTCATCCATCCATTCCAATTATCTTTCCATCCATCCATCCATCCATCCATCCATCCATCCATCCCTATCTACCTAACTACCTACCTCCTTGCTTACCTACGACCCTTGCTTCTCTCTTCCATCTTTACCTTCGCCATTTCGCCATATAATATCCTCTATCTATTTTACCAGCTCCACAGTCACCAAGCATCCCTGTCGCTCAAACCAAACAAGAAATCGACGTAGACGCACCGATCTCAGTTGACGTAGGTGCTGACGTCAATGCTCTTGCTGAGACCACGATATCCATACACTGTAAGGCCAGCGGTGTGCCTCGGTCCACGATAACGTGGAGAAAAGACGGTCAGTTGGTCAAGCCGGGAGAATTTTACGAGGTTTTAAGGAACAATACTTTGGTCATAGAGAAGGCGCAGGAGTATGATAGCGGTGTATATGTCTGCACGGCTACAAATATTTTTGGAGAGGACAAAAAATCGTCGACAGTTACAGTCACTGGTAAGGGGAGAAAATAYTTCTTTTCGTCTGCGATTTTTTGGGAAAACGCGTTTCCAAGACATGACATCCGTACCGAATGATAAAGGTTAACCAATATTGCCAATACCGTAAAAATATTTATTTGTTGCTTTTCACCAACAGAAGCCGAAATTCCAGTCATACAACGAACAAATGGTGATTTCGAATCATCTGACATGAAACCAGTCGATGTCAATGTCGGTCGTCAAGTGACATCCCTCAGTCGCATCAACATTAATCTTAACTGTACAGCCCGTGGTATGCCCCCGCCCCGTATTGAATGGATGAATGGCGGGAAAATGCTAGATGTCAAGGGACCGATGCTGTCACTGAAGAATGTCAGTGTAACTCATTCTGGAAAGTACACGTGTATTGCTAGTAACGTGGCGGGAAAAGCTAACGCGTCTACCTTCGTCAATATTACAGGTTTGTTTGGTGGATGCTTGGAATGTTACTTAAAATAGATTGATGAGTGAAAAGAGAGGACCTTTTGAGCTCCAAAAATAGGGCCTACACTTTGGCTCGAAAACCACACCATTATATCCTCGGCTAGAGCTTTTAAAATGATTTCCCATTCCACACCACATGTCATTCCCTTGAGAATAAGATTCTTTGTTTGAGTTGTATCCATACTCATGTGTCTTCTCCTGTACAATCAAGCGCAAGTATTAAACAAAAAAAATATACTCTAGAGAATGACACGTGGTCTGAAAGGGGAGAACATTACGCCCTAGCCGAGGAGGTCTATTRAGGGCATTTTCGAGCCCTTTCCCTCGGGATGGTGCTCTTACGGTCCCTCGTTGAACTAGCCTTGTTTGACTGGGATCTAAAGTCATCAAGCGACCAATATTGAACCTATTTATTATTCTCATCTATTTATTATTTTAAATTTTCCTTAGAACCGGTCAGTCCAGTAATCCACAAAGCAAGCTCAAAACTYGTTCTCAACGCAGTGAAATCAGCATCATCCCTCATCGGAAAAGATATTGAAATGTTGACTGGATCCACGCTCTTACTTATCTGTAATGCCACAGGGCACCCAACACCTAAAATCAGTTGGACCAGGTTTGGTTTACCCCTCGCAAGCAGAGACCGTTATGTCATTAATGGTATGACATTAAAGATATTTAGTGTGAGACCGACGGATACGTCAGAAATCACGTGCACTGCGACAAACGTGGTGGGCGAGGCAGTAGAGACATCCGAACTATTGGTCCGAGGTAAGAAAATTCCTCTGAGAAATTGATGTTTTATCCATCTTATACACCGAATCGATTTGAATAACTATGGCTCTGCGATGACTAGCAACAGACTAGCCTAGCTTTCAAGTGGAAACATAGAAGCGTTTTCACATGTATGAGAGGCCAGTCAGTCGCTAGTCAGTACAGAACATTAATTATTCAAATTTGTCGACATTTTGATTCAGTGTATACTTATTTTTATTTAAATTTTAACTCTCTTCGTAATTCTTGCATRAGGTCTTATTTATTGGCTTTCATCCCGACATTCCAGACATACTTGGCTATTTTAATTGCACGATGCTAATGATCCAGCAAACATGTTGATCGATAACTGCTCGTTTGTTTATCATTCATCAAYATTCGCATGTGTCACTGTACTTCTTAATCAATAATCGTTCGATCATCATTCGTTTTTGTTCGTAATGCATGCCTGTTTGCTGTTTTTCCGATTGTATTTTTAACTTTTTACTGACAATTCGAATATTTTCTATAACCTATAAGTATGTGCTAACTGATCAATGATTGTTCGCCTAATCTTCGCTTATAACTTCCGATTGCTTGCACCGAATTAATTATACCTACACAACRTCTCGCCGAAGGTCTTCGTCAAACACCTACACAACCTCTCGCCGAAGGTCTTCGTCAAACAGTCGATACTCCGTTTTTTTCGTACTTTCGTCGTCTTCATTTCTCATTCCTCAATCAAAACGTGTTGTAGAACTTCTTCGTCCGACCATCAACTCCGTCAAGAAAGAAATCAAGAACTTCGACAAAACCAACCCGATCCGAGTTCCCATAGGTACCAAACTGATCACAACACTAAACACCACTGTAGTAGTCAGGTGTCCAGTCACTGCGCGACCACGTGCTGCGTTGTCCTGGCAACGAAATGGACGACCTGTAGTTGCCAATGACAAGTACAAACTGAATGATGACAAGTCCGAGCTGACGATCACCGATGTCCAGTTTTCGGACGATGGAGCGTACGTTTGTACTGCGTTTAACCGTGCTGGGACGGATTTTGCAACCATGGATCTTATAGTAGCAAGTAAGTAATTCACTGTAGCCTCATTTAATTCATTGAAATCATTGTAATCATAACTCATTGTAAAGCGCGTTTGATCATATCCATATGGAAAAGGGCGCTATATAAAATCATAAATCATAAGAACTTCTAATGGACCTTTTTCACGCAGCAGCCAAGTTGACTGGATCAATATATTTCCCCCCAGATAACAGGGATCGCACTCATGCGCTAATTTCCCAGGATGTTTACATGGCCGTTGCRTGAAAGAGGACCAGGTTTAGATTGCCAATATCTATTATTATTCGTATGGTCTTGTGCTTAAAAACTCCAGCAATAGGCAGATTCAGGATTTTTCATAAAAGCGCAAGGGATGGTTGATAAGTCGTACTTTATTGTAGAAAATAATGAATTGTGGCACTTGGTCATCCCTGAATCTACCTTGGCCAATATGGACAACTTTCTATCGACCCAGGAGCTGATCTAGAGAACATTGCAGCTTCTTCACTTAAGAATAGCTAGTATGCTCTCATTAAGTCCTAATTCTTAAAGGGGCACTTGGATGAAAACGCCCCAATTTTTGAAAGTCCGAATAGTTGAAGTATATGAGGATAATATGACTCAATTATGATTATGTAAACCAGATTAGCGAACATTTTAGCCTGGGAGCCACTTGCTATTGAGATATTTTGGTTCAAAAGCAGAAAGAACAATAGGGTTGAGTCCAAATTTAGATGCTGAATAAAACTGATAATTTTTATCCGCTACACTGTACGTTGCTTGGTTACTATTGGGGCCATACAGATACGTTTAACTAAGTTTAAAGTCATTTCCAATTTTTATCCATTTTCATCCAAGTGCCCCTTTAATATGATTCTGATTTTTTTGTCAGTTCCACCTGTAATAAACAATGTCAGAGGATCATTTGAAGTAACCGACATCCGCGAGCTTATCTCCATAACGACTGGTGCCGTGGTAACGATACCAAAAGGAGTGTCAATCAAAATCAAATGTGAGGCAACCGGAGTTCCCACGCCAAACATCGCGTGGTACAGAGTTGCCGAAGGCTCTAAGAACTGGGAGCCAGTAGGAAAAGTGAATGAGCGCTTGTATGTTGATAAAGACAGTTACCTTTCAATCCAGCGTTCAAAAGAAGTGGATATTGCACGGTATGTTTGTGTGGCTACCAACATAGCGGGGCGTGACGAAGGAGTCACGCACCTGAATGTCGGAGGTACGTCTAAATGCCCTGACAAACAAGTTCCAACATTTGACCCAACATTTTGACCCAACATTTTGACCCAACATTTTGACCTAACATTTTGACTCAACATTTTGACCCAATACTCTGACCCAACATTTTGAATTAATATTTTGACCCAACATTTTGACCCAACATTTTGACCCAACATTTTGAATTAACATTTTGACCCAACATTTTGAATTAATATTTTGACCCAACATTTTGAATTAAAATTTTTACCCAACATTTTTACCCAACATTTTGACCCAACACTTTGACCCAACATTTTGACCCAACATTTTGACCCAACATTTTGACCCAACATTTTGACCCAACAAATGTTGGCTGGATGTTAGGTCAAATGTTTGGAACGTTTGTCAGAGTCTTAAAGCGATTTATCACGTAATTAATGCTTATTGTTAAAAAACTTTAAATGACTGAAACCTTTAAAAAAATTCAAAGATTAATATTTTTTTCATGCACCATTTTATCATTATATATCTTCCTTCTAGTTGTTCCTGACATTCCTGGCCACTGGGCCGCTGCAAGAAAATTCACTCGACCCAGTGTCAAACGAATCGAAACCATGGCAACAGTCATCCGGGGATCAACCTTGCGACTCCGCTGTACAGTATACGGCTCACCTAAGCCTGAAGTCACGTGGAATGTTGTGGGTAACGAGAACAGAGATCGTTGGAAGATTTACCCTGATGGCACTCTACAGATCAAAAAGGTAGACTTCGCAGATGAAGGGAACTACACGTGTATTGGTAAAAATAAATACGGAACTACGTACAGGAGCACCAACGTTACAGTTTTAGGTAAGAGAATTCTATTAAAAATCTACCTTTGTTTGGTTTTCGTTTTTGCGAGGGTAGCACTTAATATCCCAACGGCTAACAAACATGTGGTCCTCATTCCATGATCATTCAATGATTATTCCATGATCGAATTGGGATTTAGAAGTTGCTTTTTGCGAAGGCAAACAACTTGCATTTGAAGGAGGGTCTAAGGATTGAATCCATGACCGCCTTCACCCTTCCCATTCTCTTTCTCCCATTTTYCACCTCGCTTTCCTTTTCCTCCTATTTTTTCCTTTTCCTCTTTTTTTATTGCGATTTTTTAACCTATAGCATGGCAAGTAACCATGATTTAAATGCAGTTCTTGTTTTCTATTTTTCTACAGTTCCTCCCAGGATTGTAGACAAGTTTTTCAGCGAGGCCTACCTTAAAAGAAAAGCAAAATTCATGTACGTTAGATATTCCAGTATCACCAAACTTGCTGTCAAGAGACAACGAATGCGTTCGGCTGCGGTCGAAAAGGGAGGTAATATTATCATTGGTTGTCCTGTGATGGGCAGACCAGAGCCTACAATTCTATGGCTGAGAAATGGTCTGAAAGTCAAGAATGATAGTCAGCATCTCGTGCTTGATGGAGTTCTCATGATTCGGAACATTTCCGACACAGAAACTGGAGAGTATTTCTGTTTTGTGAGGAATACCGCTGGTGAGGATGGCGGCGGGCTCGAGCTACACGTCAGAGACAAGATAGTTGGTAAGGGGATTGCGAACCTTGTTGTTATTGTTGATGACGATGATGATAACGATGATGTTAATTGTATTAATTTTTCTAAAAGGGAGCTGGAAAGTCTCGCGGTGGAGTGAAGTAAGTTGATCAACCTCGTGTTGTTACTATATATAAATCAACATTTAATGGAATAAATCATCACCTCTCGGCAGCCATGTTGGATGAGAGAGCAGATGGCGAATTCTTCCTTTCGCTTCAAAAACGATCAATTTCCGTGTCATCCAACATGGCCCCGAAGTGTGAAAACTGATTGGACTATCCAAAACGCCAAAAAGATGTGACACATTTTTTTATGATTTTATCTCCAGTGTCAGTATTGCTATGGCAACTTTTTAGGATACGCTAACAGAACCGTGGATTGCATGGATGACAGGAACAACACGGTGCCTGAATCGTACTGTAGTGCAGTACCTGCCCCACTCACGAGACAAAAGTGTCGAACACGCTCTTGTGAAGCTATTTGGACAAAAACCTCTTGGTCTGAAGTGAGTATGCACAAAACATTCATAAATGTGCTATGGACCTTTTTCACGCGGCAGCCATTTCGACTGGAACGATTTCCTTCTAGTAGCCTCGCATGAAGCGCTTCAGGATGAGGTTACGCAGGGTTAAAGTTGGTTAAGGTCCATCAGTCAAATTGATTTACAAAATAGTTTTTTCTTCACTTTACTTCAGTACTCAATAAACTGTGGTTTTTGTCTTTTGTATAGTGCTCGGCTTTGTGTGGAGGCAATGGTGTCAGGAAGCGCACCGTAAAATGCGCGTTTTATAAAAGTTTACTACCAGCAGATGGACTCTGTAATCCCTCTGAAAAACCCATCGAATCAGAACCTTGCAACAGAGCTCCATGTGGCCAGAGTGAGTATGGCTAACTGTTAGCTTCAATACTATTGATGCATGGTGCATGCTTGATTTTACTACTTTCTCATTATGGTGTGTTCATTCATATGGGGATGTTGACGATCAGATAACAATTTTTTGTGCATGGTTTTTGTTCAATGACGGTGATGGTGTTGGTAGGGAGTTATTATAATGATTAATTATTATCTATTATAATGATAATAGATGATGGTTGGCACTAACACAGCACAGTATGCCATTTTACTAACTCACCATCTCAATCAATTACAGGAATATGTAAAGACCGAGTGAATTACTGCAGACAAATTAAAGATAGGAATTTATGTACAGCGTATCGAGTCTGGTGCTGCGAGACATGTGGAGGACGATAAAGAACGATATTCATCTCTTCAGACCATTAAAACGAACAGAAAATTTGATTACAATAGAATCTAGCAGCCAAACGACAACCACTGGGGCATTAGCACTTGATATTTGCCTTAGTAGCCTCACATTGGTGCGTTTCAGAACGAGGTCAAAGGAGCAAAAATGAAGATGTTGAATTATCTTTTGAACAAATATGGCCGCATCTTTTTAAGTTCCAGTTCAAAGTCATCATGTAAATTCATTTTATTTAACTGAGCTCCCTGTGACGTGATGAAAACCACAGGGTTCCCAGTATTGTTTCCAGTAAAAGAGCAAGCTAAGATTAATGATAGTATATTTAACATTAGTGTAGTTAATATAGAGCAAGAGATATAGTATAAAGATATCAAAAGTATGTTTCAGTTGATAACGCGCGGTAAATGTTAGACATGAATTTTTAAAGTACCAAATTATTTTCTACTGGTTTTCATATGCATGACTGTCGGTCGCTCGGCCGGTCTAACGGCCGRTCAGTCTGTATTTTCTGTCTTTCATAAAGCGGTTTTGGTATGAGTGGGAATCGTACGGAACTGACTTGCAGTACGTACACGGCACAAGAAGCCGTAACATTAATTTGGCTTCCCATTGCCTTCCAGTGATTTAACCAATCACAATAATAGTTTTCCACTCGTACGAAAACGGCTCTACCTCTTTACTTTGCTAACGCCAGAACATTAAGACTGTCAAAGCCATTTTTACCTTGCGCACATGCTCTTTTGCAAATCAGCAGCAGTAAGGGGGACTCGCGATCACC